TTTTGTATAAACCTCTCTGAACTCATCACCAAATTATAATTACTTACTTGTTTATCCATCTCTCACACGAGTCTGTGAACATGATAAGGTATATTTCCCACCTCTGTAACAGTCCTGCTAGTATTGCACCTGATGATTACCGATTGCCCATTGAAGGGATGAATATGTTTTGGGAGCCTCATAAAGGATGCTTCCCTAACTTGGAAAAATAATGGTAAAATGTAAGTACCACTAGAGGGCACAGAATTATAACAAAATTTTCCAGGACACTAGCTCAGAGGAGATCTTCTGTTTCAACTTACTCAGTTTCTAAATATATGGATCTTAAAAAGATCAAGTAACTTATTCAAAGTACTTCCTGAATGATGTGTTTAAATAGCTGACTAAAAGATAGTCATACTGTCATACGAACATGCCAGAAAAAAAAATTAAATCAGGTACAGACAAATACAATAAATAGGGTTTTATTAGTAAAACAGAAAATAGCATTAGGAAAAATAAAATGTGAACATAATCTCAAGAAATTCATACTGTGAGGCTCAGGACTGTTTTTAATATATCAATAAAAATAGTATAAACACATTGAAACCCTTACAGCCACAGGAAAAGTGAAAAGGAAATTGAAGCTATTTCTGTGTTTGAAATGAAACCCCCAATTTTGCTTTAAAACAACACAGAGAAACTTTCCAATACTTTTTCATTTGTAAAGAGAAACTACAAAGATGCAGTTGTTTATGTTTTAATTTCAAAAGTTAAAATAAGATCACTAGTTAAAATCCGGGTTTTATTTTTGTGCTAAAACTTTGTTTTTGTACTAAATAATAATAATCATAAGTTTGACTGTATAGGCTCAACTCTTGCCAGTTTCAAAAATTATTAACTATCTTAACCTGAGTTTCTTCTCCTATAAATTGGGTATGATTGTAGTTTATGCTTTTGAAGTTATTGTCAGAATCAAGTGAAATAATTATTTAAGCCAAAGTACCCACCACATTCTGAACAAATACTAAGTGTTTGCTATTATTTTTCTTTGAAAAAAGTGATCAGCATAATATTTTAGTAATTCTTAGTCAAATAAATTTTGATAGCCACTGAAATAAAACAGAATTTTTGAGGCTCTTTTCTTTCCTTCATTCCTTCTTTCCCTCCTTCTTCCTTCCCTCCCTCCTTTCCTTCCTCTTTCTTTCTCCATCTCTCTCTGGATCTCTCCCTTCCTTCCTTCCCTCCCTCCCTCTGTTCCTCTTCCTTCCTTATTTTTAAAGAAAATTTTGTTATAGGTGATTGTGATTTAATCCAGGCGCACTTTACCACTACTATGCCACATCCCCAGACCTTTTCTGGTTTTTGTTTTAAGACAGGGTCTCACTAAGTTGTTGAAGTGCTTTCTTTTTGAAGCACTATTTCTCTGCGCTCCTACCAGCATTTTCCTTACAGCTACACATATTCACACATACATTTTTTCTGTATCCTTAGTGAAAATGCTGTTCTGAAGGGGCCATACCTCATTGGCTGTGTGATGTAGGCCTGAGATTCTGATTGTGTTGCCACCTTTGTTCAATCTGGCCAGCCTCAGAGGATCTCTGAAATTGTCCTGGATTCTCTGTTGGAGAGACTTCTTGTGAAGCTTGTATCATATCTCTTAAAGATAACAATTCTTGATTTACAAAAAAAAGTGGTACTGTGGTACATTGTACTGATACACTTAAAATATTAGGAGGCGAATATGATTTCTAAACAAATGGTTACAATAAGATACCTACAAAGCATACCATAAGAATCAACAAGTGGGACAGCATCAAATTTAAAAGCTCCTGCACACACAAGTAAATAATTAAAAGCATGAAGAAAGAATCTATGGAATGGGAGAAAATCTTTTGAAGGCTAATCCTCTGATGGAGAATTAATATTCAGAATATAAAAAGAACTCAAAAAACTTAAAACCAAAATAAATAAATAAATAACCAACCCACCCGATCAATAAGTAGGCAAAAGAATTAAACACACTTTGTGAAAAAATAAACACAAATGACTAACATAAAAAAATGTTCAATTTTCCCAGCAATCAGGGAAATTCAAATCAAAATTGCACTGAGATTTCTTCTCATTCCCGTCAGAATCAACAATATAGGCTGTCATCAACAATACAAATAACATGGGGAGAAAAGTAAACTCATACATTATTGGTGGGACTGCAAAATAATACAACTACTCCAGAAACAGTATGGAAATTCCTTAAAAAACTAAGAATGGAACTGCCATGTGATCCAACTATCCTACTCTTCAGTATTTACCCCAAAGAACTAAAATCCATATACTATAGTGATACAGCCATATCAATGTTTGTAACAGCACATTCCCATTAGCCAAGTTATGAAACCAGCCCACGTGCCCTTCAACAAATGAATGGATTAAGGAAAAATACACACACACACACACACACACACACAATGGAGTTTTACTCAGCCATAAAGAAGAAAAAAAAATTATGGCATTTGGGCTAGTAAATGGATGAAACTGGACAACATTATTCTGAGTGAAATAAGCCAGATTCAGAAAGTCACAAGTTTTGTCTTATATTTAGAAACTAGAGCAAACTAAGGAGAAAAAATAGGGAGTGAGTGGATAAAGGTAAATGAAAGACCAGTGGAGTTGAAGAAGATGAATGAAGGGGAGGGAGAAAAGACAGGAAAGGGGAGGAAAAGTGGAATGAATTTGACAAAATTACACTATGTGCATGCATAAATATACCACAGTGAATTCCACCTTTATGTATATCTATAAATCACAAATTAAAAATAAATAACTAAATGGAAGGAAGACCAGCAGAGTAGAGGAAGGAGAACAGAGGGAGGTAAGGGAAATACTGGGGACTGAAATAGAGCAGATTAAATTTCATTCATGTATGATTAAGTAAAAATGAACCAAACTATTATGTGTAACTATAATACACTAATAGAAGCATAAGTAAGAAAGTATAACTGCTTTGCTTATTGGTTTATGATTTGAAGGAAGGGTAATAAAGACTAACAAGAATGATGTAGCTTAAAGGACACTCTAGTTAGAAGTTTAGAGTCTTCAGTTCTACTCCAAGACTACATGGCAAATTGTTGAACAGAAGCCAACCATGAATTTTCATTTTTGCAATAGTTAGTTATTTTTTGCTCTAAGGTATAATGATTCTGTTTATTCTTACTGCTTTGATTAGCCCAGGAATCTCACACCATAACAAAGTGCCCCTGTATTACTTAACAGCGGCACTTACACCTGTTCATCAGAACTATGAACACCATTTGATGGTAGTATACATTGTGTTGAAAGGACTGGGGGAAATTGGAGGACATGGAGAAGAAAGAAAGAGAGAATGGGGTCACTGACATTTTTGTGAACCCAGACCAGATCTAGTTATCCTGTCTCCTTTGCAGGCACTGAAAGTCTTTGTGTGCTTCTCTAGCTCATGTATTGCATTTTCAATATTACTACTCCAGAGTACCTTTCAGAAGAAAAATACAATAGGATATGAAACACATTGAAATCAAATATTTCTAATTATGCTCAATTGAAATCACCTTCATACAGACTTCAGAGAGTAAATTTCCAGGATCATTAATTTCAGAAAGGCATCACACAATTTGTAGAAAAGGAATGGGTAAAAGTAAATCCATCTCAAAGGATAGGAAAGGCCCATGTACTCACAAACTGTGTACTAACAATTAACATTTGCCTTTGAAAAATCTGGTTTTCATTACCTTTAACTTTATTTCTTCATAATGCTCTAATATGATTATATGCGTAGACTATATACTATATTGTTTTACTCATGGATCACTATGCCTACCCTCTTTACTGATATTTCAGCAAAAAAATAAAAAATAAAAATCGGTTTCCTAGCAACATCTGTATTCAAAGGAACAACAAAAGCTTAATCACCAACACTTTATTTTCCCCCAAAGTTAATTCCTGTCTATCCAGGAAAGTTAGTGGGTGGCAAAGAAAATATGGCACAAAGAATCTCTCGGAGAAGCAGCCTCACTTGGCCTTTCTTTCCTGGGAATGGAAAGATAGGATGGTTATGGTTTGGAGCTAGACCAGTCTTCCCCAGTGGGAGCAGGCAGAGGTGTTTGATGCCAAATTGTGTGCTGTTTTGTCTGACCACCCCTTTTGAAGATGCAAACCTAATGGAAGGAACGTTTAAGGGGGAAGCGAGGTTTCTGGGTTCCTAGCAACCCTCACACTAAGTATTGGTGAATACATGGGCGGATCCCCATCTCTGTGCTGTGTGTCTAAGCTCTAAATCCCTACCAATCAGCAGAGCTAATTTTTTAAAGGTTTATTGGGATTTACTCAATCAGCATCACAATTTCACTAGTATTATTGTTGCGCCCCAGGAAAGCATTATTTGAAAATTAAGCAGCTGGCTCTCCTCCAGAGAAACATGTCCCTGTGCCTCGCGTTCCTGAGACTTCCTGCCCAACTGCGACATGAGATGGAAGTAACCTGACCGCTGTAGTAGAAGTCTAACAAGGAAAACAGCTTGGTTTAGAGGAAGTGGTTTTCATTTTACTGCCTGCGAAAAACCTTGGTTTTCAAGTTTAAAGCGGGTACACGAGTCATTTTAAGTCTCTAGATCCTTCACCCTGAAAGCCCCTGCACAGAAACTCCATGGGGAATCTAAATATAGGAACAGCGAACTCCCCCCGCCTTCAGTCGGGGTCCCCGCGCAGCTCTAGGATTGGAAAGCTCATTCCAGAACGCGATCTGCATCTGCCCAGAATGGCAGGGCACGGAGCAATCTCTCTCGCACCTCCACAGTGCGTGGGTGTGAAGTGTATTAGGGGAAAGCAAGAGTGGCTCTGAGTGTTGGTGCCTGGCTCACAGTCACGTGGCACCGCTGCCAGCTGCACGGAGCTGGGAGCTAGTGCCTGCTGCTCAGAAGCTTGGGGGGAAAGCGAGGTCCTGAGGTGACCAGGAGCGATAAGAATAAAAAATAAAAACAAATCGTTTAAATGAAGCTATTACCAAAAGCAGAAAATAGTTGCCGCAGGCGTGGGTGTCTGTATCAGAGGGAGTTGGTAGAGTATTTATCTCGAGGAAGGGCGGGGACAGCTGAAGTAAGACTTTTGCCTTATTATTGGTTTAGATTTAAGGAAGGAAGTCACACGGAACAACCCACCTTGCAACTATCTGCCATGGTTGAGGTGGAAGCTTAGTTGGGCTTAACTTGGTGATTGTTTTCTTTCATATTTGAAAGGAAAGCTACTCTCTTGGAAGAAGTCCCCAAGCCTGGCATCCTTAAGCTGAAGGCGATGTTTTATTACCGACACTGTTTTTGAAAGCCAGAGGAACTGTGGCCTCCCACTCCACCAAAAGCGTGGGTGTTGGGCCGCCCAGGTGCCAGAGGTGGTGGGAGACCCAACCGGTGGCTCCTCACTGCACGTCTCTAATCATGTAAAATACAGCATATGGGGGTAAGGTGGCGCGCCCTGGGCTCCCACTCTCTGGAACTCCTCTCCCAGACACTGGGGCCACTGTCGCCACTGCTGAGACTTAGCAGTTTTATGACTTTCTCGGATTAAAATGGAAATTTCTTGACGGAGGGAACTGAGTTCATTCTCCCAGCCTTGGCTGTCAGGCGGAGCCCCGGGCAACTCGCTCACCGCCGAGAAGCCACTTTGGAGTTTCACGCCCCCCCCTCCACCCCACCCCTGGGATGGGAAGGATGTTCAGTTACTCGCGGGCATGCTGTCGGATGCTAGGATGGAAAGTCACAGCCTGCAGGCTGGAGTGAGCCGAGGGAAGCCGGGTCCCTGACTGGCGGACTAGGCAACAGTTTCTTTCGATTGTGCCCACTGAAATACCGAAGACTTGCTCCCTGCGCGGGAACCCAGGCGCCACTGCCCGGAGCGCTGCCCCGATCTCCTCCAACGGGCTAGCTAGTACCTGGAGGGCAGGTCAGGGCAGTTCCAGTTCACACCCCCTGAAGAAGGATGTCAGGACTTGGCACGGCGGCGGCTTAGCGGCGGGTGAGCGCAGCGACCTGCATCTCCAGTTTCTCCACAGGGCACACGGCAGACTTAACCTTCCGGACAGCTCCAGATCCCTGGGGAGAACCAAATCAAACTCCTGCCCCGGAGATTGGCTCAGGAGGCCCGTTCTCCGTGGGGGGAGGGGGAAGACAGTCTGGGCGTGGGGAGTGGAAGGAGAGAAGAAAGGGGGAGCCTGCGGTCGGGTGTGCGCGCGTGGGAGCGCGCCTAGGAGCGCCCCTCACACCCCCGCTCCAGGCCTGGGGCCGCTTCGGGAAGGAGGGAGTGGTAGCCACGGGAATGAGAGGGAGCAAGATAAACCTTCTCAAAGTGACGCCCCAAACACTTCGGATTTCGAATTCGAAGCTAAAGGCTGCTAGAAATTGAGACTCTTCGGCCTCCTCCGCACACCCCCCTCGGCCCCCGCCCCAAAGACCCGGTGGTTTGCTGGCTGCCTGCTTCCCGCCCCCGGCTCGGAGGTCTCTGGCACGCGGGCGCCCCGTCGGCCGCCGGCTTCCTCCTTCAAACCCGCCGGCGCACATGAGGCCACTGCCCCCGCCGCAGGCGCTGGCACCCCCCTCCCGGTGCCCGTGGTGATGCCATGCCCCGCCACCACGCGGGAGGAGAGGAGGGCGGCGCCGCCGGGCTCTGGGTGAAGAGCAGCGCGGTGGCCGCGGCGGGCGGGGGGCGCCTGGGCAGCGGCATGAAGGATGTGGAGTCCGGCCGGGGCAGAGTGCTGCTGAACTCCGCGGCCGCCAGGGGCGACGGCCTGCTGTTGCTGGGCACCCGCGCGGCCGCGCTCGGCGGCGGCGGCGGCCTGAGGGAGAGCCGCCGGGGCAAGCAGGGGGCCCGGATGAGCCTGCTGGGGAAGCCGCTCTCCTACACTAGTAGCCAGAGCTGCCGGCGAAACGTCAAGTACCGGCGAGTGCAGAACTATCTCTACAACGTGCTGGAAAGACCCCGCGGCTGGGCGTTCATCTACCACGCATTCGTGTAAGTACCCGCGCCCCCCGCGCGCTCCCGCCACGCCTGCTCCGAGAAGCCCCTGCGCCTGGCCCCCTGCGGCGGGTTTGGCGCCCGCGCCCTGACCTGACGCGCGCGCACGCGTGTATACACACACACATACACACACTCTCGCGCGCGCGCACACGTGGTGGTTTTTATTTCTTTGCACGTGTTTGTGGTCTTCCTCCAGGAGCCTTCCACCTCCCGCAGCTCCACCTCTCCCACCTCCCAGTTTGAACCTTCTCCCCGAGGGCACCCAATGAAGTGCCCTGCAGCTTCAGGGAGGCATGGGGCGGGATCCTGGCGGATGCGTGACTTCAGCTTAAACAGTAATTGGGAGTAATTAGGTCCTGAGATACATAAACTTCAACTGAGCCAGGCGCCCAGGAGTTGGGATATGCACCGGGGGAACACGAGTCCGTGTGAGGCTTGAAAGTCTATGGGAGAGGTTAGGAGGTGATGGCAGGGTTGGACCGGGTTGAGAGAGGAGGCAGCGAGGGCTGGGTCCTAAGTCCTAGGGGCGGAGCAGGGGAAGCTGCTACTTGGAGAAATCTGCTAGGTTTTAAGTGCGCCCGGAAACACGCCTTACCACCACCACAGCTACCACCAACGGAAAATCTGTCAGTGTGTGTAGCCCTTCTTGCCTCAGAGAAGGTGGTCAAGGCCTAGAAGAGGCTAGCGGCTAGCGGGCCGGGCGAAGCAACGCTCCCGCGCTGTGGCCAGGGCTGGTGGCGCGGGCGATGGGAGACCAGCGGCGCGGTAGTGGGGCCAAGGTGCTATTAGCTGAAGCGCAAATGAGCTGTCTTTGACCGGGATCAGGCTGTGGGTTAGGTCGGCGTGTAAGGCGCCAAGTCAAAGCCTGGGTTTTAAGTTAGCGTTTGCCATCTAACAGAGAATGCTTAATGAGAAAATGATTGGAAGCAAATGTTTATTTTTCCCTTAGGCATTTAAAACCTTTCAGTGGCTTTAAAGTTTACTACTGTTTTTCCCACAACGTCCATTCATTCAATCTCCTGTTAAGAGTTAGATTTATCTGGACATATTATGGTTGTTTTTATGCTTTCACACTCTAATACATTCCTTTTTTTTTCTTCTTTTCTTCTTTTTTAGTGTCCCGCCCCGATCCTTTATGTTAAAATGATATATAAACATGTCAGCCTTAGGAGACCCATAGGGAAAGTCGCAGGCACTCACTGATTTGTTCATTGTTTCCTAATAAAATATGTTTGGAATACACGAACTATGTTTCTTTTAGAATGAGGTGTGTTTTCTATCTATCTATCTATCTATCTATCTATCTATCATCTATCTATCCATCCCTCATCTGGGATGAAGCATTGGCACCAATATTGGAATTTCTTTTAATAACGTGGAAGAAGGGAATGGTTTTGTAAATAGGCGAACCTGAAATTTGACCACGTAGAAATCAGGAAATTGGTTGAGTCTACAATCTGTGGGGCCCCGGTGTCTGGAAAATTTTACAGTCCCAGACTGATATGAATGTGTAGGACTAGGTAGAATATTCCAGCCAACTTTCCATTTTACAAAATACACAAGGAGAATGTTGTGTTGCATCATTATTACATTAAAAGGTATAACATATTACTCACTAATTCACATTGATTTACATGTGGATACTGTAATTAATGATAGACATAAAGAAACACTCCTGACACTTTACATGTTCATCACCTCTGGTTTGATATATAATTAATCCTATTATTTAACCAGCCTAGTAAATTAATTTGACGTGTCAAGATACACTAAAAAATTTTAGCAGCAATGATGCTCGATTTGGCAGCAAATATACACTGTATGGAAATTATTTTTTAACAATAGGCTCAAAATATTCATTGCTTTGAATTCTCAATATGATACATAGCATGTATAGCCTTTCAGTTTTGATAAATTATACACTACATAATTCAGAGAGGGTTAGAGACAACTCTGATGGGAGAACCTACTTTGTATCTCCTAAGCATTGTTCTCCAACATGTATGAGAATTTCTCATAGTGCAATATTTTCTGTTTAATATCCTGGTGCTTAACAAGTTTTTGTGGGCTTACAGAAATTTTACACATTTTGATGAATTATTTTTTAAAAGATTAAAAGTTGGACACTACTCATCAGGCTTTATCAGTCTAGCTGTGTCTTTAGTGGTAGGTAGGGAATAAATTGTTAATATGGTGTTGCTGATGTAAACTTTAGTGTTATACACCTCTAGAGACTGAAACTGTAATTTCTGAGCAGTTAGATAGGGGTGGTAGATACACATCAGCATACAAATAGAATGGATAGTGTCATATCCAGGGAGATTGTATGCAACTACAGCAGACCCTGAGGAAAAGAGGCCATCATTGGCAATTGCTGCTTATGAGTTTGAATGAGTTTTGAATAACTGGACTTTATACATATTAAATTAATAAAGCAAAGTTGCTTTGATCTGTAAGCCTAATAAGATCATTAATTATACAGGAAATTATAAGAAAATACTTTCTAGAGAGGTGTAACTAACTAATTCTTGCCAGCCTGGGAATCCCCAAATCTTACTTTAATAACAGTGTTTGTAGCATATTAAGGTTCCTGCCAAGAACAAGTGCATTGTGATTAATGAGGTACTTCAGGGATGAATTTACTTGGTAGATCAGTGTTTTCATTGCCAAGAAACAAGGGTATGTTTAAAGTTATGCTTCAGGTAAAGAAAATTTCTGTTAAATATACAAAAATCATCATTGTTATTATATTTTAATAGTATAGAGTATGGTTTCAGTAGTACATTCCTAGCCTACTGATTGCATGACCATAAAAGATGACTTAATTTAAATATTTTCTTTCAATCTATAAAGTAGTGGAGTGTAGGAGATGTGTACCCTTACTGCTGTTTACTGGTCAGCCATGTTTTCTATCTGTTTCTCGTAGTTGAGCTATTGAACTATGAGGTTCTTTCTTTGAATGTTGTTTGTCCCTTTTTAATTTCCCCCTTTAAAGGAAAGTTTTAGAAGAATAACTGTGGAGGCAGAGAAATACATGATGGGGTTCCCTATATAAATTTACATTGATACAGCAAAGGTGGTTCTGAGAAATTACACAGCAAACAATGTTGTACAGATATCTGACTCATCACTTTGTCAAATATATCTTTGACTGGTTTTATAACATGATAGTAATTGTGAGTAAAATAGAAGAAATAGTTCAGCTACCCAAGCTAGGCACCTGAAGTCATCATTTTTTCTCATATTTCCCATATCATTTTTCTCATATTTGCTCTTGCTAGCCATCCAAATAGACATTAAATTCTGTTTCTTCACTAATATTTTTGAAAATATTTTCCTCTTTCTCTTGCTATTTCTACTATTTCTTCCTGTTTTTCTAAACCTTTTTGTAATATTAATAATTTATAATATTCTCCTACCTAATCATTTGGCATCTGTTCATAGCTTGCTTTCCCTCTGATACCACAGTCTTAATTTTAAAATGCAAATCATATCATATCATTGCCTTTCCTAAAATATTTCTGTGACCCATGTTGTTTACTTATTCATTAATCTATTTATCCATCTATAAATTTTTGAATGTCTAATGGTGCTAATTCACAAATTAATGAGACAGAGGCCTCCACTTTCAAGGGAAAAATTTCACCATGGGGCGATTACAAACATGAGAACAAGTTTGAAACAGTATTACTGGTGCTGTTACAGAGGAGGCAGGTTAGAAAGATTTGTGGGTAAAATAGAAGTGTAGGAGAGAAAGAAGAAAGCTCAGCATAGTCAATGAAGGGGAAATGAGGCATGAGCCAAGTTTGTCCAAATGAGTTGTTAATTTTCAAGTGGATAAATCAAGGGGGAAATGAGCAATCTTGGTGGAGAAGAGATATGGAATTGTGAACCAACATATTTACTTTTTAAAGTATGTGCAAGCTGAGGACAGCAGCAAGAAAAGAGGGTTTAGGGAAAGGCATGTATGTGACTTTTGATAGTCTCAGATGCTGTCCATAGAGTCTGGTTTTTATCCTATAGTCAGTACTGGTCAATGAATAGTAAAGAAAAGTTTACCATGGGAACAATCTAATTGAATATGAATTTTGGAAATACCTCCATTTTACCAGTTTGGAAACTGAACTGGAGGATTCAAAATGGAGTTGGTGTGGACTATAATTAGGTGGTAGCAGTTCTGAAATTTCCATTCATTCTTGCATTCTTTTATTCATAAATTTGTTCTTCAAATGTGTCTTGGCTCTCTAGTATGTGCAATGGACTGTTCTAGAAAAATGAGAGATGATTGCCTAAGAATTAAGGCAGTTAACTGTGAAAAAAAAAGGTTTAATAAGAAAAATGTTAAAGATACAGAATTGGCAGATTGTTTTCACCAGTTTGATATGTGGTATGAGCAGGATGACTCTGACCTGGATTATTTAGGGAGTGGAAGTGTGCCCTTCACTAACATGAAAGGCACATATTCATGAAAATAAGAGTTCACATTTGGGCATGACTTGAAGATATTTTTGTGTTATTCAGGTGGAGAGTATTAGTTGCAGGAACATAGCAATGAACTAATCTCTTTCCAGTGGGTCTTGGATCAGCAACCAAAACTATTCCTGCATAAAGGGTATGCAATAAAGATAATTTTGAATGAATGAATGCATTTAAAATTGGAGTTTAATCTAAATGCCTAATCACACATTTAGATTTGAAAGCCTGTAGCAGTTTCATGGTAATTAAAGCAAGGAGCAGAAAATATGAAATAATCCAGGAAATGCACTGGTGGAGGACAGTCTTGGGAACATTAACATCAAATAGTGAATGGAACAGTAAGACTCCAAAGAAAAACCTGGAAAACCCATGATAAAGCAACCCAAAGGCCAAGGAAAAAGCCAGGAGATCTTATCTTTCTAAAAATAATGGAAATTTTGGTTAACTTTTCATTGTAGTGGCCAAAATACCTTTCATAAACAACTTAAAGGAGAAAGACTTAGTTGGCTCATGGTTTC